CCCCAGGGCCTTCCTCCTCCTCCTCCTCTTTCTCCTCCGGCCCGGCGGGGAGAGAGCCCTGCCCCGCAGGACCGGCGGCCCACTCGGGGAGGGGGCCTGCAGCCCGCCCGCGCTGGAGGAGGCGGGAAGGCAGCGCCACAGACGCCCCCGGCAGACAAAAGGGCCCGGGGAGGCGACGGGCGAGGCCCGGGGAGGGGGTGGGGGAGGCCCGGTCAGCGGCCTGCGACGGGCAAGGAGGGTCAGGGAACCGCCGGCCGTCCCCACCTTACCCAGCTCGCCATGGAGCAGAGGCCCAGGACGCTGCCCATGGTCGGCGGCGGGCCCCGGCTCCTCAAGATGGAAGCGCGGCGGCGGGCTCGCGGCGGGGCTGTTTACTGCTCCCGCCGCCGCTTCCGGCTTGCTCTGACGGCAGCGGGCGGCGTCCCTTCCGGCGGCGGCCGCGGCCTAGGCCAGCTGTAGGGCTACGCAAAGCTGGGTACAAATTTTCACCGCATCGAGTTTTCACCTCGGGTGCCGTGTTCGGTTTTGGGCCCCTCGCTGCAGGAAAGACGTTGAGGGGCTGGAGCGTGTCCGGAGAAGGGCAACGGAGCTGGTGAGGGGCCTGGAGCACAAGTCTTGTGAGGAGCGGCTGAGGGAACTGGGGTTGTTTAGTCTGGAGAAAAGGAGGCTGAGGGGAGACCTGATCGCTCTCTACAACTGCCTGAAGGGGGGGTGTAGTGAGGTGGGTGCTGGTCTCTTCTGTCAGGTAATTAGTGATAGGACGAGAGGAAACGGCCTCAAGCTGCACCAGGGGAGGTTTAGGTTGCACATGAGGTAAAATTTCTATGCCAAAAGGGTTGTCAAGCGCTGGAACAGGCTGCCCAGGGAAGTGGCGGTGTCACCATCCCTGGAGGTGTTCGAAAAGCGCGTAGACAAGGCACTTCACAACATGGTTTAGTGGGCATGGTTGACAGTTGGACTCGATGATCTAAAGGTCTTTTCCAACCTAAACGATTCTATGGTTCTATAAATCTCGTTAGGGACAGCGTTTCTTACTAATGAAGAGGGTTGAGCCTGCAGGACCTTCTAGCTGTGGTGGTGCTGTGTAGAAGATGAACGTAGTCCGAAAAAGTCCAGAAAAGAGTCCAAAAAGTATTACTTAAAAATCTTTATAAAACAGTGGGACAGTCAAGGAACAGAAAACATACATTTTAATAATAGAGACATAATAATACCAAGGGTACTGTCTCAGCTGAAAAATACAGCCATTTCATTTGTCAAATGTGTCTTAACCCAAAAGTAGGCACTTAAGAAGGATAAATAATTAAATTGAATTTTTAAATAAAATACTTAGTGGTGTGAGGCAGGGCATCTCCTATGGAGTTTTATATCATTTTACAAGTTAAGAAACATTTTTTACTCTCATGGGTTTATTTTCTTACATAAAGCAGTGACTGCGGTACTATATACTGAGCTACTGCTCAGATTGCACTTATCTATGAATGTTGCTAAGCCTGTCATTTATAATTGAGTTTAAAGGCAGTCCTATTTTCAGAAATCAAACATGAAAAGACAAGCCTAAGAAGGAACTTTTGCAGGCTGAAGGTTTAAGGCTGCAATTTTTGTCCAGTGATAAAAAAGAGAATGGGAATAATTAACAAAATGGTTATGGCTATTAGTTTGAAAGGAAGGTACACAGGATTAGTGGACATTGAATGCTGAACTGAAATAAAATGCAGCATGCCCATCCTTACCAAAAGGTTAAGAAAGCTTTGGAAAGTCTCTATAAAAGTAGAAATGTTGCTGAAGTGGAAGTACTTGAGAGTGGGAGATGGGATCGACTGTTAGTTAGGGTGCCTCTGCTCCTTGGCTAAATAACCTACTCGCCAGTGGCCACCAGGCTCTCTTTGGTCTGTTGCCGATAAGCACGTCTTGGTCCTGCACTGAGACAGCGGTCGAGGTGCGGATGAGCTCTGATCTGAGCGTGGGGTCTGAGCCTGAGCCGTCTGGCCCCACAAGACTCTCTGTAGTGTAGGGGGACCTTCCTCCTGTGTTAGGCAGGGTAATGGAAGTGGATTTGCTTCTGCAGCAAGGAGAAAAGACATGGGGAGAGGAAGGCAGCGAGCGCTCCTCTGTCCTGCTGCCTATCACTGGGGCGCAAGGCTGGGGGGGGACAGTGAACGAGGATTTGGATTTGGTACCTGTGTCCAATATCTCCTCAGAAGGGCAATGGGAGGGCAGGGGGTGGGGAAAAATGTTGGAATCCCTTTAGTTCAGCCAGTAGATGCACAGCAGTAATTCTTAATGATCACTTTTGTTTGTGCGCTAATTTGAGCCAGTAAAGTGTGCTGTGTTCATCTTCTACACAGCACCACCACGGTAGGTCCTGCAGGCTCACATCAGCTCACAGCTAACAGTATCTTGCTTCATGTGATGAATTCACAATCTTTCAGAACAGGAATCCGTTCCGTCTCCTCTGTGAAGCCCTTACTCTTTTCTAAAGATGAGTTTTCATTAGTTACTGATTTTTTCTGCTTCACTATTCCTGCAGTCTTCACAGTGCACTCTTTTTCCTTACAAAAACTTCTGACAGCCAAGGCAGACTATTTCTGTCCAGACCAACTTGATCTCTTTCAAAGTATTAAATCACATCATTGTTGTCTGATTCTTTCATTCTCTCTGCTGGCTTACATTCTCTCTGGAGCATCTACTGTGGAAAGACACTGAAGCATTATGTACACTTCACTGAACCAAGTCCTCCTCCTTCATCACGCGTCTTTTCTAAGAAATTGTAAGAGAGAAACTATCTGTTACAGGAATTTCTCTTCTGGAGTTTTATTTCACTTTCAAGTCATACAGCTTGCCTGACAGCTTCAAATCATATTGTGAAATCTCGGTTGAGTGGAAACTAGCAGTTCCTCAAAATTGTTCTTCGGGAATTTGGAGGTCTGTTTTGGCTGTTCATACACTGCTGTGGAAATGCTTTAGGACTTTGCTTACCTTTGGCCAGCATAGTAAATACTTTCCTTTGTACTGGAGTTTAACTATTTGTTGTCAGTCCACTTGCCACTGGAAAAGCCTCTTGAAGCATTGCTAGGTTTGAGTCGGTCCTTTATTTTCATTGCAGTGCTTCAGTTTTATTCAGTTTGAAGGGGGGTGGAATCCTTCATACCCAGATATGTGTCTCGGGTAGCTTCCCCACTGTGATCTTCTTCCCTGTGAGCCTCTTGAGTTTGTATGGATATGAAAATCATACTTGTCCATTATTTGAGTAGCTCTCTGAATTTGTTTTAGAAAATAACAGGACCCAAATAGCTGAAGTAACTTTCTGGTTTTTTCTCCTTTGTGTTAGGGAGCTTCTTGCTAAAAACTGCCTTTTTGTCAGATGCATATTGGAAAGTGAGGCTTTTCCAGACTAGAGACCACCTGTCAGTCTCATGGTCTGCATAAGCAACTTCCATCAGCTCCTTCACTGAACACCAGGTCTGCAGAGGGCCCAGAGCTGCATTGTGGGAGATCCCAAACACAGCTACGCACACTTTAACCTGCAGCAGAAAAGCCCTGGTGACCATTTTGTCTCTTGAGGTCGTGTCCTCAGACCACTGAGAGAAAGGGCAAGCTAGACAGAACAAGATACACTAAACAGGCTTATGATTTAGGCAAGGCTTTTCCAAATCCATAGTTTTCTGTTAGTGGTTCAACACACTGGTAAACAGCATGAGAGGGAGAATCCTGAAAATTGCTCTGGATGGTGTTGTGGTTTAACCCCAGCCAACAACTAAGCACCACGCAGCCACTCAGTAATTGAGTTACCATTCATTGCATTTGTTGTTTGAAGGAACAAGCCAAGTAGGAGGCTGGGAACACAATGCAAATACTATACTGCCTGGCATACACAGAATAAACCCTATGGCTTGCAGGAAACACCAGGTACACATACAGTGACCATGCATGTAGCATGTGCACCGTACGCCCAGCAGATCTCCATGTAGTTAGGCAGTGCATGTGTATGTGTTAGGAATGTGCACCGTGTAAGCAGAATTTAAAACATTTTGTGAAAAGTGTTGAGTCTGATGTTTTATGTCCACCTTCAGTTGTGCAGAAGCCCTGAGCATGTTTCTCCGGGACCAAGGGCATTGCTTTTTGAAGCACTCAGCCCTAGGGTACAGCAGCACAGACTTTTCACCATGGATAGACTACCTTACATCCACAAATCTCAGAAAAATATAACAGCACCTCCAGGCCTTCCCAGACAAGATTCCCAAGCACACATACAAAAAAGAGAACACATGTAAGGGAATAAAAGAGCAAATAAAAGGTGGCTACAATGGAGCCTCTCTCATCTTTGTGCTACGATGCCAAAATCATACCAAGCATAGGCATAAAATTCGGAGGAAGCAAAATGTTCAGCTTTCAAAACTGAAGGAGGTAACCGAAGGCGGCTTTTGTTCTCTCGACGTGGCGATGTATCTGAAGATCATCGCCCCCAGAGGGCAGTGCAACTTAAAGAATGGAGATGTCTCCCGGGCAGCATTTAAATGGAAATTGGCAATTTGAAGATGTGTTTTTTATCTCAAGAGAGTTAACAGAAAAATAGTCTACAGGGATGTATTTTCTGGAATAAATCTGTGTACAAAGTACGACTCTACCTTTCACTCACTTTAAGCCATATTTAAGTGAAATCTACAAAAATTCCTTTTTTTGCCCTTGATCCTCTAAATGAAAAGTAATATTGAAATAACGTCTGTGATAACAGATTACGATATCCAGGGTTATAGCTCTATTGTGAGAGAGAAGTGGAGTACAAAAGAATAAAATTCTTGTTTCTGATGGACTGTGCCAAGACTTGTAACAGAGATATCTGAAATTAAATGGAATTCAGAGGCCATATTTTTTAAGGACTGACCTCGACGCAAATCTAATACCGATTCAAATAAATAGATAGGACTATAGAATAAATGTTTCTCTTTATCTTCGTCTTACAAGTTTTTTTATGTTCTAACAATACCCGTTTCTGTAGATCAAAATCAAATGATGCAATGCATTTAAATGCTAAAGCATTATTATGTATGTTTATAAAATTATGTTTTGTCATATTGAAAAATACATTACTGAGTAGAAATTGATTAACAATGTACATTTTTTTGTAAATATGTATGGTTTTAATCCTTCTTTAGAAAAGTGAATAATCTGAAACTTTTAAACAGCTACTGTCATGAAGCAGAGAACAAAAAATCATCAGATTGTGTCGAATTGCTGTCACTCCATTCGTGGCAACAGAAGATTAAATGCAGATTGGGTCAAGATTGTTACTAACGTTCCTATTAAGCCCCATTAGAGTCATTGCAAGTGAGAGAGGAAAATTAATTTCTGCCTCTGTTACTGTTATTGTTTGCTCGGAAAAAATGCTCGCTAAGGGTAAATTAACAAGACAGTTCCACATCACTACATAATGCTCTATGTTCTTAACAGGAAAAGACAGAAGTATGTGCAATAAAATCAAACACCTTCAATCTGTATAGTGTAGTATGGTTCAGTGTTTCTAAATAATTGGCATTTTGGAGACTGCTGCTAGCATTGTATCAATGTATGATGGATGCCTTTAAAACACAATACTGACAACTTTCATTCTATTCCCATCTTGCCTAGCGGTCCAACCATGAGAAGCTTTGTGTTTGTATTGTTCATCCTCGGGATATGTCTAAAGAAACCTGTGGAATTCATCAAGGAATGATTTTTTTTCCCCCTTATTTTTTGTCAGCCAGTGAGATTTTAGAAGACCTGGGTCCATCTGTGTTCTTCAACATCATCTTGGTCTTGTGTATCGGAGGGCTCACCCAGGTGTCTGAGAGGACCTGAGGACACATAACTCGCACTCCGTTGGGCTGCCTTCAGTCTCAAGCCTCAGCGACCAGAGACCTGGTCGCAGTGGCTTTGCCGAAGGCAGCTTTCGGCACAGGTTTGGCGGGAGGCTTGTGCTCAGGGTTCCCTGGGTGCACGCTGGGCGGCTGCGACTCCTCTGGTGCCCTGGTCCCCTGCCCATGAATAAACACTGATGAACAGCCTAACGAGAACAGGGAGAGAAAATGCTGTGAAAGCTGCCCCTGCGCATCTTTTATGCGTGTTCAGTGTTAAATGGTAACCTGCCTCTCTTAATGGATTTTTTTTTTTTTCTTTTGCGGGTAGGCAGGTTTCCTTGGCTTTTACTCTGAGCAAATTTACCAAAAACTGGTTCAGGACTGAAAGCCATCTCGTTATATATATATAAAAGTTATCCTCATAGGTACAGACGCACACAGAGTATTTGTTGCTTCTCATTTTAATCATGTAGATGTATGTATGTGTGTCATTACATATCTGCATGTTGCACACTAATATACATATACATGTACACAAAAACATACACCTACATACCTGTATGCATTAATATGTTACTTGAAATGAACTGCCGTGGATCTTTATACTATACCAGCACTTCCAATGAATTTGCTGGCACTTTACTCTTCATTTCAACACTGTAGATACACAGCCATTTGGGTTTTACTTATTTCTTTGTATTAGTAATGGCTAATTTGGAGCCAAATAACTTTCCTGAGTTTTTATAAATGCCTCTTAACTTCTATGTGAAACCTACCTCTGGGCCAGAACCTTAACTGGCACAGCATCACCTCCCCCCACTGAATTTGGTGGAGGTGTATGTGCCCTAACAGTAACTAAAAAGATGATGATTTTTATATATATAGTGGGTAGCACATATAATTAATTAAATGAGCTGTAACATTTTTGTTAATTGCATCTCTTTTGACAAATACGTGTAACTACTGTCTCATCTAAAAATAGACAAAGAAATGGAGATATTTTTATCTCAGGATTAACAGGCAAGTTCTAAATGAGACAGTTTAATTCTAAATGGCCTCAGAGTTTTATACCTCATAGTTAAGGCCCAGATTAGAAGATGATAGTGGTCTAGACAGTATCTGCTCAATGTCTTCTGGATAGCAGTATCTGGAGCCAGTTGATTATTGAAATAAGTATTTTTAAATAACTCTTAAAATACATACATACACACAAAAAGCAAAACTGTTACAGAAAGTTGATAGAGAAGATAATTTAATTTTTTTTTTGTGTGTGTGTCTGCAGGGATGTTATTGAAGCTATGCTGATATACATCACCTGTAACTGGTCTGTATTATTAATGACCTTCCTTTCATTTTCAAAGGCAATGAGGACTTATTTCCCTCAGTTATGAGTTTCAGCCAAGCAAAATTTTGCCAGTCAGGAGTGGCAATACAGAGGTTCTGATCTTCTTAAAATGTAATCATGAGGAGGTAAAGCTGTAGGATTTTAGTATTTGCTCCATAAAAACACTTACCTGTTGCAGCAACATGAAAGCAACAGCTAGGGATCATTTTGCTGTTAGGACTGGTATTTCAGGCACTATGGCCAATTTCAAAGAAATTGATAACATTGGTGGGACCAGATGCTGTTCATCGGCTATTTTAAATTAAAATATGAAATTGCTGAACCACTAGCTGTTATTTAACTGGCTCTGGCAGTTGTCCCAGAAGACAGGGGGCAACGTGATGCCAATTTTTCCAAAGGTTCCAGGGGCACCTGCACAACTCAGCCTCCCGGGAACACATGCTTCACAAACCTAATAGCATTCTTTCAAAAAGTTAGTGAGCATATGAATAAGGGTGATTTGGCTTCTGCAGTGTACCTGGATTTCTAAAAAGCCTTACACAAGGTCCTCACTAAGAGCTTTCAAAGCAACTAATCAGTCATGAAATGACAAAAGAGGCTCCTTTTTCGATTAATAGCTACTAGCAAGATCCATCAAGGGCTATTAAACTAATTGTCCTGTTGCAACCTCTATTCAGAAAAGCCTTAAAATGATAATTGCTGGAACCCGGATGGCAAAGCCATCACCACCTGCTTGTCCTTCACTTACACCCTTTCCTGAAGCGTTTGCTATTGGCCTCTGTCAGGGACGTAATGCTGGGCAAGAAGACTTTTACTCTGACCTAGTGCAGCCTTTCCACTATTCTTAGCTAAGTGTCATATGTGCTGAGTAATAAAAAGTATCTATGTTTTCCTCAATTTAATGATAAAGGGGCTCTTCCTTACATAACTTAATAATTTTATTTAAAAATAGAGCAACCATTTTCACATCAATAGCTTCTTTTATGGAGGATATCAAACTTACAAAATTTGAGCCATTGGGCAGTGCAAAAATCTATCATTCCTTTTGTTTTTAGGAGATTTTGAAGAAAGGAACGCAGTTCCTGCAGTTCGATGAGTTGTGATGAGACCTCCTCTGCAGAGTCCTGGGAGACCGGCAGGGACACATGTTGGCTGTAATCCTTGAACCCAAGAGCTGCCCTTGTGCAGGGATATCGGAGGCGGAATTTGTACAGGTGTGCTTGACATGGCTATGCTTTAGCAACTCGCACGGCCACAAGCACCAAAGTACTGAATACGAGGAAAGTTTGGACTACAACATGAACTGTGCATCTGTATAAGCTCACGTAAGAGAGTGCAACACTATTCAAGTCAACTTTTGTAAATGTAAGCATTCTCCCTCACTGTAACTTCTTTCCTAGCATGACCACGTATATGTCAGTGGCAGGTTCAGGTGTAGAAGCAAACAGTCCTGTCCCTTTTAACAAAGCTGTTAGAATAGAAGATTTATGTCTGTGTACTAAATGGATAAATTGCTCTCAGTCTGTTAAGCTGTCGGTATGATCTCTTAGCAAGCTGGAATGGTTCACTGCTGGTTTTTGGAGTGGAACAAATTGCCTGTGTGCAATAGTAAAAGACACCACGGATATACTGATCAATACATTCAAGAAAGTAAATCAGTGTTTATTTTCAGAATCCTTTGACTTTATAGGGAACCAGTTTTTAAACACAGAGAAAAAGAATAGACGTTTTCAGAGATGAATGCCTAAATTAATATGTAAATAAGTCCTCTGCAGTCCCATTAACTTCAGCTGAACTTGCTGATTCTCTGGACTTCCAGCTAGCAGACTATTCAGGCCACCCAGGAATCATGCCTAATTTTAGGTCCCCATTTTCAAAAAAACCCTTGAGAGAATGCTTAAAACCAGAATTAATTTTTAACAATTGCTTATTTGTGATGATTGGCAACTTATTTTGCAGAATCTAAAGTTAACTGATTTAGTACTATGAAAGAAAAAAAAAACATTGAACAACATAAGCCTCCTTCTGCCATTTTTCTTCTCTGGCTTGACAGGTTGGTTTGAAGAACAGTGTTTTTTTCCCTGCTAAATCTGAGCTTCATCATTCATGGTATTCCGCACTGGAGTAATGGTATTGGAGCAGTTGCTTTATAATAATGATGGAAAAGCCACAGTCTAGAGGAAGCATTCAGAAGCATTGGTATTTCTATGACTGCTTTGGAATACGTTCAGCACTTATTTCCTCCTTATGCATATGAATTTACCCAAGCACAGCAAGGTTTTGTTGCGTGCATCTGGTTCACTGCTCTGCATGTGGAAGTTTGTTATAATGAAAAACACAGGAATCTCGGTAATTTTCCTTATTTATTTAATAGAGACTTTCTGTCAAGTCACATCTAATTCCAAGGCGTTTAAGTGCTGCTGAGGGATCAGACCACAACCATTTTTTGATTTGCAGACAACAAAAGCCCGGCTGATGTGTGGGTGAAACTGGCAGATAACCTGGCTGCTCCGTGAAGCCTGGGTCTCGATGGCGTGCCCTGTTCCCACTCATCTGAGCAGCAAGCTCACAAGGGCACACAAGGATGATGACATCTCAGGTACTACATCATGACCTATGACCACCTTTGATGGTTAAACATTGACCCACAAGACATTATCAGGAAAGATGTAAGTACTAGCAGGTGTTAGAAGTAAATGTATTTGAGGTATTTACTTCAATACAAATAAAGTATTTCTTGACTGAGGTCTACTGGATAATATTCTGGCCAATCGACAACGCTTTGAACCAAGGAGGCTTTTGTTTCGAGGTGCTAACACTTCAGTCTCCCATTTTTTTAACTGTTTGTAACAAGTTTGGTCTTTAGACTGTCAATTTACCTGTATTTGTTTCTGTAACTGTGACAAATGATTCTTTTTCTTCTTGAAGCCTTTATGACAAGGAGGGACACTGGTCAAATATCATACAATGATCATGGTGTCAGGAAAAGTTTACATAGTCTGTTGTGAATCCAACATATCCTCTCTAGGATCCATTTCCTGTATATAAAAATTCTGATGTCTGAAAACAAGAGAGGGGGTTATTTAACCATGCAAGAGTTTAGGAGGGGTCTATCTAGTGCACTACCACAAATGTGGCAGTACATCTTATTCATTACTAATAGCTTCCTGATTTTCTTCCTGATCCCAGTTGCAGATCAGTTTATTGTAACCTAAGGCAGGAAGAAGAATCACTGTAATTTTATTTCTCTACTAGCACAAGATTTTGTACTTTTTTCAAACAAGTGCAACTGAATTTTTGCTATTATTTCACCTGTCTCACATAAGTGAATTACAAATATTGATTTTATAAGTCACTGATGATCTGTTACATAAATATTGCCTGCTCTAGGCTTGCTTTCTTAGGTTTTCCAGGCTTTCCCAGCATATTATTATGGCAAATTTGCGTGATACGTTCTCTACATTTTGTATAAACAAGTTATTTTATATGGATATCTTTTCAGATCCAGACTGAAAAATATTTTTCTTATCTTGTCTCTTGACTTTCACAGCAGCTTAACTTCTATCCTAGAAAACATCTGTCTTCAATGACAACATGTGCCATAGGCAACGTGTGGCAACCATAGAGAAAAAGTGTTCATCTAAAGGAAATACTACCTGACCTCCCTCCTTCTCGGGGCTGTCAGGGCTCTAGCCTGTGGTGACTCCCAGCTCCTCTGGCTCTCCAGAACCTGCAGCAGTTAGCAGCACGGTCAGGACAGCTTCTGCCAGCTTCTCATTGCACTCTCGTCTTACATCTTACCGCAGCTTGTCCCGAGCAGCCGGACTGTTTGACAGTACCATGACACGAAACTTACAATGCTGAACTAGATTAACTCTTATTTTGACTCTAGGGCTAAAGCTAGGACAGCCAGTCCTGGGTTGTGCTGTCTCCTGGTGGGGATTGGCACTACGGTTTTCAGTAGCTTCCCACCATTTCTGGAGTGACCCCAGACCAGCTTTGTTTCTGGGCAAAGGAATTTGGTGAAAGCTGACCAAGTTGTGAATAGTGTTTGCCTATCTCCATGTAGTAAACTTATTTCAGGTAGGCATGCAAGGTCTTGTAAAAAGGGCAATGAGATTTTCTGCCAGCTCTGAGCAGTGAATCAGAGCTTGGGGACAAAAATGTTGTTCTTGTCTACCCACCTGATATCCAGGTAAGAAGAGCCAGCTCCAGGCTACTCAACAACAGAGGCAGATTTCAATTTCAATGCTCCAAGAAAAAGAATAAAATGTAATTTGACTTCTTTCCAGGGTGGTAGACTCTGTGACAGCAGTGTGTCAAGTGAGGCAGATGATACAACCGGTCTAAAGGAGGTCAGTGGCAGTTTCAGGGTGATGTGGATGGTGAAAGACAAGGTTCAAGTGGTGCTGGTCCAAGTGGTGCTGGGGGTGGATTAAAAATCACTATCCAGTGTCCCTCATACTGGGTAAATTAGAGGCCCAGAAATGCCCTCATCTATCTCTTGCAACATGCCAAACTGAAGGCCACTCTAAAGCTTTCTTAACGCTTTCTTAAATGATGTGCCCTAGATAAACATCTGGTGGCCCAAGCCCTCCTGCTTAGTCAGCGAGCGGACGATAGTTAACCCACTGCTATTTTTCTCATTGATTTAAGCACAGAGTCTGGGGGGAGAGGGCTTTGGACTCTGGCATCTTGGTGACAGGACTCCAAGCCTCAGGACTGGAGACATGTTTCAGGAGGCGGACGAGCTCCTACCTGCGTGTATATCCTAACCCAGACTATGGAGATTGAAAGTGGAGAGCAGCCTGCAAAAGCACGATCAGTTGGGGTGAATCTGGACTTGCATATCCAAGCAGGCACGTTCTGGTGTCCCAGCATGTGTGACGTGGTTTGGGCCTATAAATATGCAGCATATCTTTGTATATAAAACATAGACATTAGTGCAAAAGAAATACGTTAAGCCCATGATGAATATTTTTATACCATGCTTATAAATTGAATTTACAGTGTTATGGTTTTATCCTTATTGGCTTAGCTAGTGACAGATGCCATTCTGGACCCCAGGTAACATCCCTAGCATTCCATTTAGTAGCAGATATTTTCAAATCCAAGCAGTATAAATGCTGATTCTTGCTGAGACTCATGTTTATACAACTGTTTATGCACATCTTTCTAAAGAGAGGGCCACAGATAGTCAAGCTTAGGAGGCTGGGAACCATTTTATAGATCACTCTGGCGTTCTCGTGTCAAGACTAGATATGCCATTAACTAAAAGGTTTGGAAAATGTTTTTTCCCTATGTTTCAGTGTTTCAATTAAAAGTATTTTTTCTTTCTACCAGTCTTTCTTTGCTTTTAGGCTTCTATTACAAAAAAAACCCCAAACCCAAACAAACAATCAAACTCCACCACCACCCCCAAGTGCCCCAAAACTTACATTTTTTGTATCATTTACAATTTTTCAGCAAAACTAGAAAATTTTCAGTGAAAGTAAAGGTATAGGCTAGGGATGTCATACTGTTTATCTTATGAAAGCTGAAAAGACAACAGTATAAGATGCAATAGTTGAAATCTCTGCCTTTGTATGCTTTATGTATTTAATATTGCCAGCATTAACATTTATACTCCATGGCACTCACTAAATCAACATTCATGGAAAATTAGAAAAGGATTCATCACGTAACTGGTTGTAATTGATGAATTCCCTTTCCAATGAAAGGTTGGACCAGACAATCTTTTGAAGTCCTTTCCAAGCTGGGATGTTCCATGATTCTATGAATGATGTGCTAGTATTAGCTTACAGCCAAAACCATATTTCAACATTACAGTACCAGGCTTTTGCAGTATTTGTGGGTTTTGTTCTTTTTCACTTTCTGGTTCCAAATATTATTCTCTCATGATCAAGTCAAATTGACCTAAATTAACTAAACTAAAAAAACCCCATATGGCAAACATATTATTCCTATATATTTATATATTTCACATCTGTAGTGTAGTAGAGGAAATTCACATTCTGTTGTGTTGCATAAAGCCAAAACACAAACAATGTAAGTCAATATTTAGCACTCGCCATACAGCAAGGACCACTTTGTCTGTCTTCCAGGTGAAGACTTACTTACAGGAGCAGCTGTATTGAGTTTAGAAGCACATTCAAGTGAGTAAACATTGCATAAACTCTAAACAACATAGCAAATGAACTTTCCAGTGACAGCCCCCCAAATCATTTGGTTTATTAATTTAGAAGACCAACCATCTGTGCATATTGTGAACTGTCCCATGGTATGTCTGGAACTCTGAAGAGGAAATAATGTTTTCTAGTGAACAACTAGAGGAAACATATATTTCAGGGATTACGAGAGTGGAAAAAAACTCAGGCTATGTGTGTCTTCTACATAGTGATGTTTTGAAAATTTTGCATTCTACAATAACCAAGCTCTTTACTAAATAGTTGTGGCAGGAGCCTCATAGTAGGTCTGAATGATGGAAACGCCACATGCACCATTTCCATAGCCATTGAACTCTTGTGTGAATCATTACAGCTGTTCTCACAATCATGGAAAGTCTGCAAACAGAGGTGCTGCTGTGGCATCCTAACAACATATGAATAAATTGGAGATACACCCATTCATTGGTTCTGGATGAAGATACGGTTTCTAACTGGTACCATCTGACTACATCCAACTTTTATTTGAATATGATTTTTTGTTGCAACTGTTTTGGTAGTTTTGGTTGAACATTCCACATTTTAATTACCATCAGGGGAGAAATATTTCAGTTCTGCTTCCTAAAAGCTTATCTCTCTTCCCAACCCTTCACTGACGGTCTTTCTGTCGGCTAGATTCTTGCTCAAACTGCCTGTCTCAGAATTGATCAAATCACAGATATGTCCGTCCTTAATCTCCTTCCCTATGGTCTCATTACCTGGTATAATGTTTTGGACCTCCAAATCCACAGTGATCATTCTCTTAATGATTTTCTGAATTATTAATATTCCCATTTTACAGAAGCCCTGAGAGTCTTGTACAAGGTTATTTAAGAGGGTCAGCCTGTATCTTCACATCCATCACCTATGCCTTAGTTATGTTCTCCCCTCAAGCTTTCTAAGGAACAAAACTCTTGCTTTCCTAGTATTTTCAGATAATTATAATTATAATTATGGCTGAGACTAATAAACACAAAGTTAAGAACTTTGATCTCCAAGGCTGCTTAAATTTGAGATTAATTTTGTGACTAGGTGAGGATTTTTTTTTAAGGGAAAAAGTCTTTTTAAAGCAGAGACCATTTAATGAGGAAGCAAGAATAAGACTGTAGGTGATCAGTCACACTGCTTGACAGCTGAATTATAAAGATTAATTCTCCAGTAATGTTGGTGAGGCACTTTTCAGAAACTTCCCGAAAGAAATTAATTCACTGATTCACTGAAGGTTTCTGAATGCTGAATACATAGAAACTGTTTTGTAAAGCTAACTTGACGCACTCCAAAGAGCTGATTCATTCTGAGAGGTTCTTTCATGAAATATCTTCTCTCGGCTTTTTTTTTTTAAAGACAAAATGTCCTTTCACCCCTCTTCAGAACTGTTTTTTACTGCTTTTCAGTA